TGGAAAGTCCCCCCTCTAATAGTATGTACTGCTGGCGCTTATATAGGCACCTAAGCGCTGTCATGCGGAGCCGAAGTGCTACCGAGTAGGTATGTAAAGATATATATGAGTGAGAATCCATGATAAAAATAAAGGTGGAACAATATGCTAATAAAGGAAATGGAAATATACGCATTAGGGAGCTTGGTGGACAGTGGATGGATGCTTCTGGATGGCTGGCGCTATAGGGTGCTCAAGCGCGGGAACGCGCGCGCGCATATAGATCGCAAAGCGCGCGAATGGTGCACACATGGCGCGTGTTGCGCGGGAAAGCTGCGCCTCATATAGGGATAGCTGCGGGTAGTGCACAGAGTGACACTACAAGTTCGTGCTATGTACTCCTTAGTGAAAAATTGTCATATCACACCATGAGACACACGAGTCTCTACACCGCCAGCAAACCATCAATTGTTCGACCAAACACACATGATCTCCTGATGATTTAGGTGTAGGTGTAGGCTGGCCACCAGTTGATGATGGATGGGCTAGAAACAAGACTGCAAACCTTACAGGATCATCCTGTAAGGTTTGCAGTCTTGTTTCTAGCCCATCCATCATCAACTGGTGGCCGGCCTACACCTACACCTAAATCATCAGGAGATCATGTGCATTCTCGACTTCCTCATACGCTCATTCATTGACATTGAGCTTCACCCTTTCTTCTGGAATGGCAGACAACTCATCTGCATCGTCCGCATTATTTGATAGCAATCTGGCCTCACGAGGTTAGCACTGATGAAGACCTCCAGCAACAAAAATGGACGAAGCTGATCTCAGACCATAAATAGTAAGTGATTCTCCAGCAAGATGATGCATAATCTGATGGAGATCTCCCTCGCATCAAGTGTTCCAGCATCCCTCTGGATAATCCCAAGCAATACCATCATACACTGTGCTCTGGACACACACATTCCACAAACTCCTGGAGGTCTTGAGGTGTGCCTCGTTTTCCTCACCCCTCACTCTTGAACACCTCTAAGACTTTATATATTATGCCTACACCTTCTATACCATCCTTCTTGAGGAGCCAACTCTGCATTCATTCCAATCTGGCTGGCTCGAGGCTCTAGGTGATCTTGCACGCTATCGCATGGCTGTGGCGCATTGATCATTGATAATAGTTGGACACGGTATGTATTGTACTAGTATGAATATGTCTTTATTAATGCTGGTTGTGTGTATCAGGGTTTGATCACGACTGCGGACACGTAAAGCTGCTGGAGGTGTTATTACATCAGACATAGGGTAGGCATCACAAGCATCATTTAAAGTGCCATGGGCGACTAACAATCTTGTGTCGTCGTGTTACCCTCCAACAGAATCATCATTCGAACTCTTCTGAAGACATGTCGCACATTACTACGAGTACTATGCACCTGTCAGACACGGAAAGTGACTTCGATGTTTTGGGTGGCGATCCAGAACATATTTCTATACCTGGCCCCAGTGCGTCTAAAGGGGAACTCTTGGAGGTAAGAAATCTTCAATCTGTCCAAGTATTTACTGACCCGATTTGCTTCAGACTCTCAAAGCGCTGCAAGTCCAAATGCAGCGGCTTCAAGCAGAGAACAAGAGTATCAAAGAGGAGAATAAGACGCTGCACGCTGACAAGCCCAAATGGAAGCGACGTGCCGATACACAGCATGAGTTTAGCGTCCATGAGGACACCATTACCATATATGCCCGCAAGTATGGCATGATGGTTGAAATGTTTCCTAGCAGTGAACTCCTCAACAAGAAATGTCCAGCATCCCTGACTGCTTTTGATAGCTCTGAATGATATGTGACTGCAGCCATGGAGGAATCTGCATTCTTAGATGAACTTTATCGTCACTTCCCTGAATCGCTCCACAAAGTCATGGAAAGCTCTTACTTTAGTGATCTGGTATGTCGAGTTTTCATGCGTTCACTTGCTATATCACTGACACAATAACATTCTTATTGTAGGTACTGAAAAGTATTCCCGACGCCCATGCTAACGAAATCAAAAAGCTTCGTGGCATCGCTGGTGATATCTTTGGCCTTCCTGCAAAATATTTCACCAATCCTCAATACGACAGAGCGTCTGTCCCCGAAATCAGACAGCTACTTGGTGTTACATCCACTTCAAATGTGGTCTACAAAACTTTTCCCCCAGTGTTATTTCTGAAGTTGATAGAAGACAAGTCGCTTAAGACCGTGTTTGGAAATTGGGAGCTATTGGCTCAAGTGCGTCTATTACTACTGTTAAGGTGTTGATTATCTGACATTTTTCGGTGATGGCACTACTATCTAGATTTTGAAAGCTTCATTGCGTGGAGTTGCCTCGCTCCATCAAGAGTCGAGTGGTGGCGCCGCCCATACTAACTCTCTCAAATGGAGTGTCCACCAAATCACACCAGGGTCAATAGCATGGGCGGCAGTCATTGTAAGGCAACATTTTATTAATTACATGTTTTTCGAGTCCTCTGAGATGTATCATTGCAGGTAATCTTTTTACTGTCACCGGACACCAAATTTTCGAGCAGCGGCACTGGGAAGAAATCCAACATCTGTTACCGGAATCTGTTCCACCTCTACAAGAAAGTCCTCGTAACTAAGTGGGCTACGAAGCGCATTGCTACCATTGTCACCAGCATCAATCATTACATTTTCAAGGCTGCAAAAGCTTCAGCCTTCGATTCTGCTGAACAAGATGATCACGCAGATGCAATCAATCACGCACTTGCAGCGCTCGATATGGACAGCGATTCTGAATCAGACACCGAGTTGCACAATCCTGTTGAGGACCCCAACCTTACTGAACCTGATGCTACCACCAGTACCAAAGCAGGAGATTCAGAGCTCCGGGATTCACATGTTTCTGACCCGGATATTTTAGGAGGTGAAAATATACAGGATGTTGAAGGGTCAATCAGCAACAGTGGACGAGGGCGGAGAAAAATGAGAGGGAGGAAGGCAGCAGCTTCTGGAGGCACAGTTCGTCGAGGACGGTCTCGCAAGGTCACATTGACGATGGTCCTATGTTTGCAATGGATATCAAATATTATTAATGCTCGCTGGCAATCTTTGAATCAAAATTAATACATTAAAATAATTCAATCAGAGTTTAAATGCAAACGTTCAGACTTTACGACTAAATTTCAAGTCATTCAAACCCTCATTTGGTAGAGACCACAGCCAGTCACAATGTATGAACTTTCATTTTAGCATCTACATTATATCTAATTGTTACAGCCGTCATCTCTCTCGCCTTCGAGGAATGGGTCTCATGGAAGACATTCGGGGTCAGTTCTCAAGATCTTTGGCAAAGCGACCAAGCGCTTCGCTCGAAGCGCTCAACAATCCCCAAACCCTGAACCCATGGCTGTAAGTTCCAGCCTGCAGAACACCCAACCTGTTCAGTCAACTAAGGTAAGCGTAATCTAAACTCTAAATGTGCCCCGACGTTGTGTGCCATGATTGGTACTCATCGCTTCTGCAGGATCTCACCCCTCCCATTCTTGAACCAAATTTTGGGCAGCCTTCCAATTCAGGGATCGTAGAAGGAAGTTCTACTAACAAAGTTCAGAATATTCTCATCCATCTCTTTCGACAATGTGCTGATGTCTATCCTTAGGCTGAACATCTCGACCTGAAGGTTGTGCACGATAGAATCGCCAATGCTAACAAAAGTCTTGCAGACGCCGGCCACTTCCCAACAATACTCCAAGATGCTTCTTCTGCGACCAACGACCTACCATCTTTTTCTGATACAATTGATACGTTCTCCGTGTTGCTCAAACCCTTGAAGGCATTCAACTCCATCGCCAACATGATTGCAGATGTACAAAACATGCATCTCTCTCCTGTATGTAACTAAAATTCGTGCACAGGTCCATCCCTATGCGAAGGTGGCGCTGAGCATCTTCACTTGCGCTTCCAAGGTACTTAGGACTCTTACTCAATCATTACCGTTGCAGGTTGACAAAGTATTGGCAACAGATGATTCTCAATCAGGCACACCGTGATGACGCTGTTTCCCTTTCTCTACTTTTATCATGGAGGAGGAGGAATTGGCCAAGATCTACTAGCTGATCCAACATCTCTCTGCCCAATCAACGACTTGTTACAGTGCGCTGGGTGTTCTGAATGGACTTCGTGCAATGTTTAATTAGTTTTTGGTCTCATTCTTGTGGTATATAGAATTTCTACTAGGGTATAATAATTACTGTAACTATTAGTAATTGTAAAATGTATAGTAATAATTTAATTATATGCCCAATGAAATGAATGATACCTGCCTCACAATAAAATTTCCAAGATTGCATCCTCATTTCAAAGCTGTGTGTATACATCAAAATTTACTTTGCAATGTCATTGCAAAGACCATTGCAATGACAGTGGTGGCTATTGAGCACGTGATGTAATGATGATGACAATGACTTGCTCCGATTGCAACTGTCATCTAAATGACGACTCTATTATAGCAAGCTATTTAAATACTCGTTCTGCATTTGGGCATTGAAACCCATTGTCGGGCCTTGAAATACAAATTAGGAAGTTCTGACATATAAATATAGGCAGTGATGAAACATAGACTGTACCTCAGTGTTAATGATAGAACCGCTGAGGTACAAACAATCTGACACAGAAAGATTAAAAGGTAAAGTATAGAGTCCGTGATAACAAACAAACAGAAACAAGCAAAAGGAATGTCAACGTTGAATATATCCAACACACCCTCCATCATTCGATTCTATCTCTTTCTTATGTTCATATAACAACACCAGGTGGGCAGGAAATACAGTTGCTTACAGCACAGAGGAGGTCGATGTCAGACATGCAATATTAGCCCAGGCTATGGAGTCCTGTGATCGAAAATGCTTGCAAAGTTTGTTTACATATGCATACGGGGTACAAGTCTAGGCCATCAACAAAACAGCACAAAACATATATGGCCAGGTACAACCTTGCAAAGCTTACATAATCAACTAAGTCTGTTATTGGTCAGATATGATATGGCAGCCGCCATGCAATGGAGTGCCAGCCTGGTGCGAGTCTTGTAGTATGTCACAAGTCTTGTGTTCAAATGTAAGGACGTTACCAGACTTATGTTTATCTGATATGACTAGACCAGCAATGTGACTGACTTGCAAGGGAAAATAAGTCTTCATATTGCAGCTATAAGAAAACCAAAAGTCATCATATCCCTCGAAGTCATCCCCGGCATCATCATCTCCATCCTCGGGACCCAGGCGATCACCAACTATGTCGTCTTCGTCGTCACCATTGCCATCGCCGTCATCATCTTCACCAGCTTCAAGTTCATCATCAGTAAGTTCCTCCTCTTTGTCAATTCCGCTATAGCCATACTCATCCATCTCTGACTCCACAGCTTCATCGTCCCTGTCAACAGTGTTGCCGTCACCATCCATGACCTCATCCTTGTCACCGTTACCTTCCTTGTCACCGTTACCTTCCTCGTCACTGTCACCTTCCTCGTCACTGCCACCACCTTCTTCATCTGAGCCCGTACTCTCGCTGCCATCTGGAAAGTCCGAAGCAGCAGCAATCTGATCGAGAGGATCACAGTCTTCGAGGAACACTCATGTCATGTTGCGAGTTGACTTGTGACCAACTCCCCTGCCACGGAAATGCATGAACATGTCTCTGTCGACAAACCTATGGCCAGCGGCTAAATGATTAGCAGACTTGAAGTATAGATAAATACTCACATATTTACGTAGTAAAATTTCCAGTCTTCATTATTTTCATGGACGGGACAAGCAATGGAAGGTGGTAACAGTTCTTCAGTATGGCCATATGCAAATGCGGGGATTAGGTGGACGCTGCGAATGATTTGACTAGGATCCAGAAATCCGAACGCACCCGGCTCATCTGCAGCAATGAATCCAAGTCGGTGAAGATGTTTTGCCTTCCAGCCTGACTGATAATTATTTGGATCACGACCAAACCATCTAACCCAAGCAAAATCCATCTGCTGAGGGCCCAGGGAGGAGTCAAAGCCAGGTGCATTGTCACCTGTGTACACGACATTTGTGTGAAAGATGCCTAGAATTTGGGCATACCAATATGGATGCTCAGCCTCGCATGACAGGACCATTATGTCTGCATGAGTTCGTGGATTGAGGGAGTCTTGCTCGCGGCGAAGGTCATATGTTGTGTGGTTAATTTGAAGAACTTTGTGACGGAAAATGCGATCATTTATGAAGATGACCTGGGCTTGTTCAGCTGCACTAAACTCTGTTTCATCACCATTGTATTCTTGCCCAAGTATTCGGGCAAGGAGATGATCTTTAAGCCTAGGAAGAAAATTCTGACGGGGAGCTCCCCAAGTCAGATCAAAGCAGCCAAACACTGTAGTGAGTGACAATCACCTCCAATGCACGATCATCCAGATGCCTCCCGAGCCACTGTGGCATGTTCAAAAAACACCTCGTACTCGAGGCAATATGGTAGTGTGCTTTGGGATCAGAATAAGCCAATGGTTCGGATTCTTCAAATGGGATGCTTGGGAGATCATGGTGTTCCCTTCGACTGGTCTTGCCTTTCTTTGACTTTGCAGGCAGCACATGATGTTCGGCCAACTGGAATAGGATTCATTCTCGCCGCTGCTGTTTTGCAATTCCGGACGTGAACTTTGCCTTACTAACATGAGGGTAAAAACATTTCACACGTCGGTGTTCAAGTTCACCCTGTGGAAGCATGTTAAATCTATCAAGATTTAAAGTATGTACATACCAATTGAGTAGAATTATTGTCCATGGTACCAAAATGTCTAATGCTGGAGACGTAGTCTCCAAGTGCATGCAGTTTGTAAGTCTTGAAGTTGAAATATCAAGGCTTGACCCCGGTGGAAGTGCTTGTGATATTAGTTCTATCCTTGGCAGCTGCTTGGGCCTTGTGACGCCCACGAGCAGCTTCCTCGCTAGGAAGGTCACAAGTCGTGAATTCTTCTCGAGTCTTGGACATGAATCTTCAGAGATATTTTCCAAGACAAGTTGTCAAGGTATCAAGAAAATTGAGAGTAGTGTCAGTGTGCATTCGGAGCTTGGCAAGTGCATGCCACGTTGCAAGCTCAAATAGAAGGTCAAGCAGCATCACATTCAACGGTAATGGAAGCAGCAGCTCAAAAACTGGTATTGCACACTAACCAGGGAGTCAGATAAGAATCAGCTTCAAATCACTCCACATACCTGTAGTAAATCTTCGAAGTCTCGAGCAGCAATTTGTTTCATGGCCGATGCATTACTACTGAAACGCCAGATCATGCCTCGTCCAAACGTGGGAACTTGTTGATACCTAAATGACAATGAGTAACTCGACATCTGGAATACTCGATTTGTGCCTACCTCTCATTTAATCTTTGTATGCTCTCCTCGCCATAGGCATACAGAATACAAAGAAGATGAGTGAAGACTGCCTTCCAAACACTGAGTTCAAACTCGTGGAGCAAATCCAGTACAAAGAGTGAATAAAAGTTAAAGCCGAAATGTTGAAGGCGCTTAGAAAATGCATTCTATGAATATAGTCAGAGTCAGCAATTGATGAGACATGATAGAGAACTTGTACCGTCGAGGATGTAAGTGAATGCGGACCCAGTATGTGTTTAATGAACACGCTCGTAATATTCATACCCTTGACATATAACCAGTCACGGACCATCCTGATCTTGCCTTGCAAGTAGCCACTGTCTTCGCATTGCAATTTTTCACGTCGTTGTCAATCAGCATTTGTACCCAACTCTCCAATCTTGTCCTTTTGAATCAAGCATTGTGGACAAGGACATTGACTGAGTAATTTGATGCAAGACAGAAGGGTTCTGATGTGTCCATGCTAATAGATGTAGAAATACCAGTGATTTTCACGTACTTCTCTGGGTAGTCGGCTGAGTAGGAAAAAAAACGAGGAAAGACTCGCTGGCTGATTCCATTGAGGCACTCAATAACGATACTAAATTCATAAGCTCGCATGAAATCGTCGTCCATTAGAAGAAGCCAGATGGCTTGCATCAATTCTTGGCGGCAGTAGGTCAATATCTCCGTTGTAGCAGGCTTGCCAAATGTGTGGCGATAAAAGTCCTGAATGGTATCAGTGAGCTGAAAATATAATGAATTAGAACATGGGAAAGATCGACAAAGAATAACTAGACTTGCCTTAGGTATATATGCTAGATGGTGTGCAGCGAATGACGAAGGTTTTCCACGAATGTATTTGGATTGATTACCAAGGAACAGGTATATAGGCCACAATGATGCACTCCTGAAGCTGGCTAGATGTGTCGAGTCCGACCAGAGCATGACTGCAGCAATGACAGTCTCGAGCGTGCAATCTGGATCAGGGGGATTTGATTTGATGGCTTCGTGAACTTCAAGCATAGCCGGTGAAGAGTATATTTCAGAGTAAACACGTTCTGCAGGTTTGTTTGGCGATGGTTGGAAGAACATTTTGAATGGTGCTAGATGGAAATGCTCTGCAGACGCCTCACAAAATGCAGACTTGATGACATCAAGCAGACAACGGTAGAATAGTGGAGCCCATTCAGTGAAATAGTCCATATCTTACGGCCAGCCCAATGTGACAATCACCCATACTATACAGGCCATCCCAGATGGGCCCATGGGCCATTGTAGCCATAACATATGGCTGGGCCCATCATTGACAATACATGTAAGTCTCGGCTGGGCCCATACTATTTGAGTAGTATACCTGTGGGCCAATGGATAAATTGTAGATATGATATACGGCTGGGCCCATAGGTGATATTATAGATGTAATACACAGCTGGGCCCATGGTGCTAGTTGGTCTCTTGGCTGGCCTATATGGTGCCTCGGCCAGCCATGACACCAAAACATCGGCCGGTCCATATGGTACCTCGGCCAGCCATGGCACCAAAATGTCAGCCGGTCAACATGGTATCTTGGCCAGCCATGACACCAAAACATTGGCCGGTCAACATGGTACCTCGGCCAGCCATGACACCAAAACATTGGCCAGTCAACATGGTACCTCGGCCAGCCATGACACTAAAACATCAGCTGGTTCATATGGTCCCTCAGCCAGCCATTGGACTGGCACAGCTGGTAATGTGCCTGCCTCTGGCAGATGGAAACTGGTGTGGCCTTAACCTATAATGCTACCTATGACAATGCCCAAAGGCTCTACCCCTACTGACTAAGCTATGCAAAGACCGGTCCATATGGTACCTTGGTCAGCCATGACACTAAAATGTCGGCCGGTCCATATGCTCCCTCAGCCAGCCATGACACTAAAATGTTGGCTGGTCCATATGCTCCCTCAGCCAGCCATAACACTAAAATGTCGGCCAGTCAATATGCTCCCCTGGCTGGCCATGACACTAAAACATCGGCCGGTCCATATGCTCCCTCAGCCAACCATGACACTAAAATGTTGGCCAGTCCATGTGGTTCCTCCCTTGGTCAGCCATGACACCAAAATGCTAGCCAGTCTGTGGACACTCCAACACCACTCCCTGCTCCTCCTTCATCCATTCCTCCACCATCTCCTGCTTCTCAGCCCTTATCCATGCCCACCTTGGATTCTATCCTCCATCCCATCCTTGACTGTCTTGAGGAAGTTGCAGAGAGAGTAGATGGGTGTTTTGCTAGACTTGGTAGAGAGATTAAGTGTTTGGAGAAGGTGATTTTGACTGGAGATATTCACCATTTGCACTTTCCTTTGCAGTCTTTTCTTTTTCTTGGTGATGGACTAACTGAGGACAGTAAGTATTCAAAGCCCGCGTGAGATGTGACACTCAACTCTCCACTGGGTCAATTGAGGGTGTTTATGTAGCATCTTTTCCTGACACTTTCCTTAGATTATGTCCGCATTTTTGCTGCTTATATAATCATCTTCTACCTTCACCTAGGACTCTACAGTCATTACCTAGTTTCCCCAGTTTCCAGTTCTTGATGGCTCCCCATCAACTTGGGTTATTTAGTAGCATTCCCTAGTTGTAGCTTCTTCAGCTTACTATTTGGCTCCTGGAAATCAGTGTTCTGTCATTGGCTTGGAGCGCCTCTTTTACTCTCTTTCTTTGTTTCCTCTCTCTCTTGAGCCTGAGTCTAGACAGAGATTCTTTTGGGTTAAACACAGTCTATTCTGACACTGCAGCCAGGCATAGCAAGACCCAACATTTTCCTGCTGCCCAGCAGGATTGTTATTTTCACACTGGCCGATGTTTTGGTGTCATAGCTGACCAAGGGAGGAACCACATGGACTGGCCAATATTTTAGTGTCATGGCTGGCTGAGGCAGCATATGGACCGGCTGACATTTTAGCATCATGGCTGGCTGAGGAAGCATATGGACCAGCCGATGTTTTAGTGTCATGGCTGGCTGAGGGAGCATATGGACTGGCCGATGTTTTAGTGTCATGGTTGGCCGAGGAACCATATGGACCAGCTGATGTTTTATTGTCATGGTTGAGACTCAATGTGAACCAGCTGACATTTTGGTATCATGACTGGCTGAGGCAACATATGGACCAGCTGATGTTGTATTATCATGGCTGAGACTCAATATGAACCAGCCGATGTTTTAGTATCATGGCTGGCCAAGGCACCATATAGACTGGCCAATGTTTTATTATCATGGCCGAGACTCAATATGAACCAGCCGATGTTTTAGTGTCATTGCTGAGACTCAATATGAACCAGCCAATGTTTTATTGTCATGGCCGAGACTCAATATGAACCAGCCAAAAATTTAATTGTATGGCCAGCCGAGAGACCATATAGACTGGCCGAGAGGCCAACTAGCATTATGGGCCCAGCCATGTATTCATATTCACCTCTACAATACACTCATGGGCCCAGCCATATATTATCTCTAAAATATGCCCATGGGCCCACATGGGATGGCCCGTATGGGATGGGTGATTGTCACATTGGGCTGACCGTAAGATACAGGGATGATTCACTGCAGTATGTGAATAGTGCAGGTACCTCAAATTCTGGTGATGACATTTCCGATGTGTGCTGTACACCATCAGTGGGTAGTCGAATTTTCACTGTCATCTCTATCCAGCCATCCGTACCCAAAAATGATGAATGGATATCTGAAGGGTCCCCCTGGTAGTTATCTAGACAATCCACCTCTTTCACAGCTCGAAATCCAGTAAGATGAGCCTTATCAAAATCATCAGCGAGAATGACCTCGTCCACGAGACGGTCAAGCTCTGCTAATGACTTCATATTTGACCCGCTGTAAAACCAGCACATCAAACGAAAGACAGTGGCGTTCAAGAATGGTACAAAGAAGTCATCCTTTACTGATCTGATAGAGGAGCCAAAACCAGACCACCATGGACGTGCACCCGTCTGATCAGCTGTCTTTGGGAAATGTACTGAGTCCGATACATGTAAGAGAGAGGTGAGGTTGTTGGGATCAAAGGTTGGAAAGGAATAAGGATACGAGCAAAATATGCCATACGAATCAGGTTCTGTGGTGAAGTACTCAGTTTCGCCTAGAGGTACGGCGGGCTCTAATGGACCATCAGCAGCAACCAGTTCATTGTGTGGGGCTGGGGCTGGTGCTAAGACAGGAGCTGGGGGAAGGTCGTCACAAAAACGTTTGGGCATACGGCGCCTTCGATTAGGCAGTCCCAATAGACGGATTGCTGGTGGTGTTGGGGACCTTGCAGCCTATACAGATATGCAGTTAGTATATAATTAATGATTCATAAGTAGATGAAAACTTACCGGTACATTGGCTGGTTCATCCTCTCCTTCTGCCATGCTTTCACGAATCATCTCCCACTCCCTAAGGGCAGCATTTTCATCATCCTGCCATCGGATTTTTGCAGCCAGCAATATCTCACGACCTTTCTGTCGCTTCTCCATTATGGCTGCCGAGGATTCTGCCTGTTTTTTGCCGCATGAGCCTCGCATATGATTTGCGAGGCCACGTCGAGTCTCAAAGGGTACCTTACATACCGAACACTCAACCATGAAATCGGGAGTACTATTGAATGAAAAGGATGAGTGGGGTCTGAGTCGTAGCTGTGGAAAGGTGGAGAGGTGGAGGCAAAAGCAGCATGTACTCACCTTTGAAATTAAATACACCTCATGGTGGCAGTATCAACCCCGGATCTAGACCTTCTATTGATAAGTGAGATGTGCTCAGCATGGACTGTAATCTGCTAAAATGGCTCATTTCTCCGATAGTGATCATGCTGTGAATAAATTACTCAAGTGGACTCGTTATATTTCATGGTACTATGATAAACAAATATGGTCATGAGTTGTGACAAGGCATCATGCCGTACTGCCCAATGGATCGCATGTAGATATCATACTTCCTTGCCTAAAAGTTCATCTAGGGAAAGTTCGATAGTTGGACAGCTGCGCAGCCACCATTGATGCCTTTCCCATAGCTTATGGGGTTAGATAGGGTGGGGGTAGAGGAGAGGAGAGCGGTTGGGCCAAATGAAGTGCTAAAGATGGTAGGGAAGGGAAGTTTTTGGGGCATCAGCCATTTGGTCGTCTTTGCGATCATACTCCACACCTAAAAGTTTGTCTAGGGGAAGTTCGATAGTTGGATGGTAAATGCTGCAGCCAGTCGCGCAGCCACCATTGATGCATTCCCCGTAGCTTATGGGGTTAGATAGGGTGTAGAGTAGAGTAGTTGGGCCAAACGAAGTGCTAAAGATGGGAGGGAAGTGATTTTTTCGTAAGATGAGTCATTAGTTGTAGAGGAAGACACATCGTTCTGGTTGGATGTGGTGTTGGAAGAGGCATGGTTAGTGAAAGAGGTTCCGTCACCTCTCCTGCACCTGCGACCCTCTCTGAACTCAACACTAGGCCTGATGTCTGGTTTGGTGGGGCTGGAGCCTTCAGCAGAGAAGATATGAGATGAGGAAGAGGTTGCAGGAAAAGAGCTGGGAGGAGCATTGATGCTGAAAGTAATGAGGTCAGTAGAAGTGTTCCATTTGAAGTCAGATGCTTCGAGAGATTTGATAGTGTTAGCCATCAAGAAAGATTGAGTTGAGGCATTGTCGGATCACATGACCTTACCCCAACAATGTGTCAACAAAGATTTACCCCAACATTTCATCCAAGTACATCATCCACCTGAATCCTAACCCTCATTATGCCTGTCGTCGAGGCTGAGTCTGGTGAGCAAGACACTACCAACCCTCAAGTCAACCAGCGCTTCCAAGCTGTCCTCAAGAGTCTCAACAACACCTCATCAGGAGGCCATAAGCAGAAGTGCATGTACATGAAATTCCAATATGTTTTATCTACCAACATCAGTGTGACACATCCATAGGGATGCTCTAGACCCTTATCTTTTTTCAGCTCAATTCTTTTGTCTCAATCATGACCTCTTTGCAGACTTTGACGCTGTGATTCGAGAGGGCATGTTGGCAGAATTTGATCCTGATCCTGATCAGGATCAAAGTGAATAGTAAGTTTTGTTTTGGTGATTCTGTCACTTACTTGATTGTCCACACAGTGCGCAGGCAACTAGAACCTACCTTGTACATGTCTACAAGAACTTTGCTTCGACAATTCCAGGATTCAGTGAGCTGAATACAAAGTTTGAGGCTGATCCCGATGCTTGGACTGGGTTCCAAAAAGCGGTAAGCTCATGTCTCAGTGCATATATGCGTCTTTTTCTGACCTTCTGTCAGATGGAAAATGCCGCCAATAGTGCACGTTGTGATAACACTGGCTCTCTGAAGCACAATGGACTCCAGTACTTACTCAAAGACCCCGCCAAGGACACATTTGACCCTCCAATATTAAAGACTCACAGTAAGGCTGTACGAGGTTGGAACCATCCAGCAACCACACGACTTCTGTGCCCTGCACATGATATCGTCGAGTTTGATGAAGATCCAAAGTGAGTTCTTACTTTATTGTTCTCGTATGCTTACAACACTGTTATATCCAGCGCATATATGGACCGCGTCAAATCAGGACAGAAGAAAATCACTGCAAAACAATGGCCGTCGATGTTTTACAACATGAGCCTCTACAACCCAAAGAACAAGAAGGCAGGCTTCCTGCGTGGTCACGCAATCATACAGGTGCGTGTTTCTCTCCCCATAGTAGCATCTCATGTAGGGTTTGAACTTCTACTAGGGATGGCACCACATCTTCACTGGACCGATGTCGGCGCTCTCAAAAGATCGGACACATCGCTCTTCAAAGCCAACAAAAGGCAAGATGCACAACTTGACAGAGCCAGGGCCAATAAATATCATGTATGTGGCAATACAGGTATCTCATTTGTTTATATACAACACAACACGACTGACAAGACTTTAGATGTACTTTGTTGCCTGCAATGCTGAATCCTGGACGTCCGAGGTTGGGTCTATGAACCTCGAGGAGGTGTACTATACTGCGGTCGACTTACTACTCAGAGAGCACGCAGAAGATCAGTGGGTCAAGGACTTGCTGCAGTTTTGGAAAGAGTAAGTCACACAGTTCACTTCAAATTCTGCATATTTCACGAGATATTCTAGCGAGGCAGCAGGACTTACTCAAACCCTATCAAAATGCCAAAGAGTTGCCTCGAACTTAGCGTCCGACAGTGAAGACGATATGGACGACTTCTTTGGTGGTGACGACGACGAACAACCTAGTGCGGGAGGATCGACTAGGGACCACGAGCCAGCACGCAGTGCTCCAATAGCAGGTGGGAATGCTTCAACGAGTGGCTCTGGATCCAGCTCGACAGGTAGTGCCAGTGCCAGTGCTGGACAGGTAGGAATGGCAGGTGGACATGCTTCAACAAGCAGTTCAGGACCCAGCTCGACAGGTAGTGCCAGTGCCAGTGCTGGACAGGCAGGAACAGCAGGTGGCATGCTCGAAGGCGGGAACGTGATGAACACTGGCAACATTGACGACGAGGACGAAGAGGAGCAGCAGCAGCCCCGGCGCAGATGCAGACTCGAACATGACTCAGACACTCAAAGGGAACGCTCACCATTGACCCCTCCTCCCACATCTCCCCCTCCTCCCAGTCCTGTACGCCAGCCAACACCTTCCAGGGGTCGCAGTCGTGGAGGCAAGCGAAGCAAACATCGAATGTGTTTCATCCTAGATGCGATGCTTTGGAGTCATGTTTTCATCATTACTTATGTTGCTTGCTCTCTATGTTTTTATTTTATCATGGCAATTAATTCATGTGAACCGAAATGCAATATATTGTGGTCTAAGTGAATACATGGGTTGGAACTATTACATGCATCGGAACTACGACATGATGGTACAAGACCCGAACAGGTCTAAAATCTCTGATATGCTCCGCAGCACTTGCATGCTTTACCTGGCCTTAAATGAGCCACAAGTGCATGTATGGTACACACCTGTTCATGGCAGGGTGATACTTAACCATGTCTAATTATACACAGTACATTTTGTAAGTTTGTTTGTAAACTATCAATCCCCTACAATTGAGCTTGACGGCTTCTGATTCCTTTGGTGATTCTCAGGCTTCCAAGAATAGTGCTACCACCAGAAAAATTACCAAATTGGGATATTCCAATAATCTCACTATTTCCACATACCTCCCTGGCTCTACTGCTGCACCAGAGCTTTCCCCTTGCTCACTCATGTATATAAGTAGTAGAATGGCATGTACATACATAAAATGATACAATAGACCACTTTTTTCATTGTCTGAGAGCTTGTACAGCAGTCTACAGTGCTGACTACAATATGTGCATCCCAGGACTAAAACATATTCGCTTTTTTGCCCCTTTAGCAGGGAGGCAATTCTGGTTGTATATATCATATATTAGAGTGTTAATGAATATATTACACCGCCTTCTTGAGCCTCTGTAGTGTCCTACATCAGTAGATATGTTAAATTCATGAATACCTCTCAAAAAACATAAACCAGTTCGCATTTTTTAGTGTTTAGGTATATAGACTGGTGAATATTATTTCTAACATCTCTTTACTAGTATATACATCATATCAAGAGTATAGGTCATTAGGATCAGTCCCTAGGGTGATATGTATTGTCATCTTCCTGGTGGTTCACTTCCTAAGAAAGTTTTTCCTGCAGCTCCAGCCCTCTAGGATGGTAGGTAGTCTTTTACTATGAACATATGGAATATATTTATCACATAGGTATACCAGAACAATACCAGGATCCTTGTCTACAATCCAAAGTCACTTCCTGCCTACAATGTACCATATTTTCGCATTTTTGAGGTTTTTCACTACATTCTCACTACATAGACTATACCAGCTGTTCATATATCACTTATAGTACATATATGAAGCCCTCCCAAGGCCATGATCATGCAGAAATATGTCAGAGTAATGATATCAATGATATAGGGGCAAACTCCACAATCATGCAAATGTTATATTTCAACCCTGTCTAGGGTGAATATTTCATTAAAAATGTATAGAATACATTGTAAACTACTGATATATACTATACTAATATATGTTGTGAAGGTAAAGGTGATGTGGAAGTGTTGTGGTCTCAATTTGTTGCATTATTATGGTCAGACCACCCTTGCATAGACTGTTGGTGCATAGTACTTTTTCGATGTTTGGACTTTTTGACTTTCCCATGACCTATTTCTTATCTATTGGATTCCCCTGCTGTCAATTATTCATGGATCCTTCTGGTAGTCGAGGACTGTATTACTTAGTATATATAGTGTACTCTAAGATAGTCTGATTATAATATTTTACTATATTCATGTCTGAGAATTCTTATCAGTGAGAATAGGAGATATGTGCTTGATATCATTACTCTGACATATTTCTGCATGATCATGGCCTTGGGAGGGCTTCATATATGTACTATAAGTGATATATGAACAGCTGGTATAGTCTATGTAGTGAGAATGTAGTGAAAAACCTCAAAAATGCGAAAATATGGTACATTGTAGGCAGGAAGTGACTTTGGATTGTAGACAAGGATCCTGGTATTGTTCTGGTATACCTATGTGATAAATATATTCCATATGTTCATAGTAAAAGACTACCTACCATCCTAGAGGGCTGGAGCTGCAGGAAAAACTTTCTTAGGAAGTGAACCACCAGGAAGATGACAATACATATCACCCTAGGGACTGATCCTAATGACCTATACTCTTGATATGATGTATATACTAGTAAAGAGATGTTAGAAATAATATTCACCAGTCTATATACCTAAACACTAAAAAATGCGAACTGGTTTATGTTTTTTGAGAGGTATTCATGAATTTAACATATCTACTGATGTAGGACACTACAGAGGCTCAAGAAGGCGGTGTAATATATTCATTAACACTCTAATATATGATATATACAACCAGAATTGCCTCCCTGCTAAAGGGGCAAAAAAGCGAATATGTTTTAGTCCTGGGATGCACATATTGTAGTCAGCACTGTAGACTGCTGTACAAGCTCTCAGACAATGAAAAAAGTGGTCTATTGTATCATTTTATGTATGTACATGCCATTCTACTACTTATATACATGAGTGAGCAAGGGGAAAGCTCTGGTGCAGCAGTAGAGCCAGGGAGGTATGTGGAAATAGTGAGATTATTTGGAATATCCCAATTTGGTAATTTTTCTGGTGGTAGCACTATTCTTGGAAGCCTGAGAATCACCAAAGGAATCAGAAGCCGTCAAGCTCAATTGTAGGGGATTGATAGTTTACAAACAAACTTACAAAACCATACCATTTCTAGTCAGTGAGTATTATGCTTAATTTTAACAGTATAGCCTGCGGTACACCAGTCTGGTGGGAACTTGTCAGAAATCTGATGTATGCAAGTGATGACATGCTCTCATACCAGCCTGGCATCTCCTTGTGACATATGGTGGACCTTGTGGATTCTTACATGACCAGGTGAACCCATATAAGATAGACGCTGTTTTGTTGATGGCATGGTACTTACTATAGCACTAACAAGTGGTGACCTTCAGTTGTTGTGTTTTATTGGCGCGCTCATGTCATTCCACTACAAAAGCAGACACTTGAGCCCTATATTTTAATTATGCTATATTTCTCTCCATTTGCTCCTGAAAATAAAAGCACACCAGTCAATACGGTATATAGTTGACTATGAGCAAGAGGAGTAGTTCTGAGATCCAGAGCTATGCGAGAGAGCAGACCTTGGCAGCCACTGAAAGTAGTTGTGCAAGCTAGTCAAATGAAATTGTTTGTGATTCACCATCCAACTCGAGCGGTAAGGTGAAAATAAAATGTGGTACGTGGGATACAGTGGTTTTCGAGATTATTGGGTGGTTGGAATCGAGGATATAGAGCTTGTCATCCGTACTCCGAGTCATGCATTTCTCACGATCACTTTTCGACCGCGAGGTTGCACTCCTCGACGAAACCTGTATTAGCTCCAAAGGTAACGACGACGACAGCTAAGTCACCGTCAGGTAAAGCAATGTATCATGTTTGCTCTCAGCTATGGAAGGTGCAGGTGGTACAAGCCATGTACGGCTGGTAGTGTCGTGAAAGTGGAAACAAAATGGAAGAGTAATATCTTGCAGGGAATGGATTGCAAATACCCAGCGCAGCATGACGGAGTGGACACAATTGACACCAAGACGGCGGTTATTCATGCTGACATGCCAAATGTCATTAAGAGGTCAAATTCAAGTAGACTACATACATATTTCGAGGTGCGTTTTACACAGATTCTGCCGGGTATGGCGATATTTGGCCTTCATTCCCTTTGCCGAACCCTGGAGTGTCGACATTGAATTTGGGTATATGAACCTGCAAAGGCTGCATAGAATGTTGCTGCGAGCTCAGGCTGTCCTGTCCTGCCTCGCTAGTTGTCCTTCTGGGTATATTAATGTTAGAGGAACTGCGGGTTTTTCTACTGATCGCAATGCGAATCAGCACTATGTAGAAGGCGATCGATACGATCGGCATGATCTGGCCGATCAAAGCTCAGTTTTATGTTCGACGAAAAGTGTTTAGGGAGGAATTACCATGTCCAACATGACAACCTCTCCATTGCTCGAGCAGACGAAACATATCAATGCCGTGAACAGCACCACAGAGTACAAAACAGCAGTATCCATAAGCACATGCAAGAGTGGCATCATAGTGCCATTCGTGACGCGAACTGTAGAGGCGTTCCTCTCAATCAACCAGATGCGATATATCAGTAATCCTGAACACAATCAGGGCCTCGACAACCGTACTCACGCAGAAAGGTGCTTACCTGAACTTAACAAGTTGGTCGCAATTGTCAAGGAAAAGAACGCTGTGACCCATTTCGCAAGCACTTGGGCGTAGATGTCTCCAGAGTCGCTCCCGGATTGGGACGCACAATACAGCCCAATAATACCAGTCACTTCGAAGCAATGTCAGCACGATTTCAGGAGCCTGATAGTGGGCTAACCTGCGACGCTGCACCACAGCATGCTTGGCACGATGATAATCCAGATGGATTGCCAAACAATATAGCAGCGATAAATCTATAACAGGATAAATTCATTAAGCCCAGAGGTTCGAACAGCCATCAAAAAAGAAAAATTCGCAATGTTTTGAACAGGTAGATAAGAATATGAACCCACCACCACCCCATCAGCAAGTAGAGTTTGTAAGACATACAACGCATGCTTGAGTACATACGTTTGCTGGGAAACGTCTGCGAGGAATGCCGACGGCCCACCTGGGTACGTGTAGCGATATTTCACAAATGCGTCTTCAACACGAATAATGTTCACGATGATGTGCTTGGAAGATGTTAGCTGTCAACAAATATAAGAAGAAAGAAGCGCTAACTGCAGTGCTCAGCATCCACAGCAAGACGACCACCGTGGCAATTGGGCGATTGATGTCTTGTATGCGTTGTTTGTAGGTCAAAGACCAGATCGTAGCCATAAATAGAAGAATTGAAAAGCCTAGAGTCATGATCCCAGCTTGGTGAGCACGGGAAGGACAGATTAATTGCAAAACTCACCATATAAAATACCTTCCAGTACAGTTGACATTAAAGTACCGGCATCTAATGGGATGCCACTTGCAGCCATGGAGAAATAGAAATGTTCAGCTGTGTACAGACTAGGAGATGTGCGAAGGAAAGAAAGAGCATCTTCGCCGGTTTTCACGTATATCGTTATATATAGAAACGACTTGGGTCGTGTTCTCGGCGGGAATCGAATCCATCTACCTCGAGGCTCGAGATCTAGTGGGGTTTAATTGTTCGGAACTCGTGACGACATCTTACGATATCGCATCACTGATAAGCTGATGGTATTCAAGGTCACAGCCGCAGGGTAGACTTTGATGAATCCTGTGTATCCAGTAATGATAAATAAGGGTTTGACTGACACAAACCCGGTTTTTTTGAGCCAGCAATCTTGGGTAGGCAAACAGCAAATAACCGAGCGCTGCTGGGCTGACGAAAACCCTAATAGTACCTGCTGCAGTCAGTTGTTTCCGAAGATAGGAACCTGTCAGCTAGAACCTGGGAAAATACACAGCAAGATTATGTATGCATGAGCGCAGCCTTCCAATTAGTCACATTGTGCGGACGAAATCGATTGATCAACATGTGGTGCTGTTCAACGTTGGTCTAACGTTAGCTTGTGTATATGGGCGCTGTAACACGTGTGTGCGCATTCAGATTCAGAGAGCCTCGAAGAGATGGGGATCGTTTTGGTTGCAACCTGGGCCTGATTGGCCAAATGCGCCGGCATGGCAATCTATAATTCAAAATACCTCTGCGTATGGAGGCAATCGTGAACTGCGCGTGATGCAAATTTAGCAACGATTGTTGCGTACTTGTTCGGATGTCACAATCCCAGTTGTGTCATCACCGGATGCCTGCTATATGTCAGATTAGCATAGCGTGACTTGAGTTCAAACTATCGCGGGCGGAATTTTCACTTACTAATAACAACGGAGAGGAGCCGGGACGGACAGCAAGGTGATACGCTGTGTCACGATTGCCAGAGGTACAGCATTTGTGATATGTACTGGCATAATAGTACTTGATTTCGAAACACCAAGAGCTTGGTCTTTGTCTCCAGAATTTTTTATGCCAGTGTTTCAGCTTCGTGTTCGGGCTCGCAACTAGAATAGTGGCATGAAATCAGCAAAGGCGCATAACACCGCTGGGCTGACTGCGCAACTATGCGCAACGGAGTCCCACCCTACAAAGTGCAGCAGGGCCACAGCGCTTGTGATGTAGCAAGTACTATCCGATGAGTGACGTTGTGCAGGATTGAGTTAGTGCGGCTGTGTCTCATAGGACTAACCAAATAGTAAGGGTTGTTCCAGCGTTGTGTATTATGGGCGCTGTGACACTGCAATTCGAAGGCTTTCGAGATCAGAAGTCGTCTGGATACGTATCATATTACAACATCTGATACGGCGAGACAGTTGTGATCAGTGTAATGCATAAAGTATAAATCAATCGTCAAAGACGGCCGGTACATACTTAAGCTATCAGGAGTGTTACCAACACGATAGCAGCAAGAGTCTAAAGGGAGCAGTACAATAAGAGTAAGGTATGTTTCAAATGCTAGATGAGATGGACGTTGTCCCGTACCGTCATAGACTGGCTCGTATCCTCACAGCCAGGGCCTTCCCTTCATCCTCATCAAGCTCCTCCCTCGACTCAAATTCTCGCTGGTGCATCTCCCGCCGGCTTAGAGGTATGCCATTCTCTTTCGATTGTTCAGATGGTTCTACTCTTGCGCTCGAGTTAAGTGACGGGGCGGGAATGATATGGTAGTGAACCTAAGCAGCAAGGTCATAGAGTGAGCTTCAAAGCTGCAGGTAAATATTCGAACACATACGTGTGGCACTGCTTGGGCATACTCCTGATTGCACACCACATTAAGCGCAGTATTACCCAACACTTCCGAGCGCAAATCTCTTCAACATATCCCACTGAAGATCAAGTAACAGCATCCTCACCTTTCGTCAGTCCATTCGCCACTTTCGTCACAGCCTGCCCCACTGCACTGGCATATTCTAAGGGCAATTCCGACACGCGCGAATGATGGGCTTTGGGTATAATAAGAGTGTGCCCACGTCTCAAGGGCAAGATATCTGTGTAGCAGGTTAAAACAGGTTTCGCCCACTTTTCAGCGCCAAGTACCTAGAATAGCTATGACCTTATCATCCTCATACAGACGCGTCGAGGGCATTTCGCCTGCGATAATACGGCAGAATGGGCAATTGTGATCTGCATCGTCCCTCCACTCTGTTGGTATACCGCGGTTGGCATGTGCGCCAATAATGAAGGATGTCATGAGAAAGGACAGGTCTAACTGCTTTTACCTCATCTTGGCGGCTGTCAATAACGTTCCGACTCGAGGTCTAACTATTACAATACAATGCAGATGATCTGATCTATCAATATGCTAAAAACAGCTGCACAGGATGTCGCAAAGCAGGAGTCTTGCGCATCTAAGATAAATTTAAGAAATTGCCACTACTCCTACTACTAGTATACATCCGTCACGCATACGCTGCTTCCGAGCCCTTTTCACAGATCCCATAGTCCTCTCCCTTGACAAAGGCACGCGTACATTGTGCCATAGTGACGGATCTACCAGTAACGCGTGAGCTTGGATTTAAAAATAGATAAAAATGAGAGATACTGACGCGCGTGAGATGGGATCAGTTTGGTAGAAGTTGGAGATGGGCTTGAGGAAGGGCTTGCCAGAGACCTTTGCGGATGCCGTATTGGCTGCTATAGTCTGAAGGCCTGCCACAGCAACTTCAGGGGATGTCCGTTCTGTAACATCGTAGCGGACGAGAGTAGGCGAGATATCCCACATGCGGTCACGCAAACTCAGGACATCATCGTAAGGCAGTGGTGAATCGAGAACCTCCGAAAGTGCACTAGAAGATAGGAGATGAGTATAAATAACACTCCCACGAAAATAACAGCTACCGAATAATCTTCCAATCCTCACGGGAAGCGCCAGGTGGAGGAACAGCGGTACGACCTACTTGAGACCGGCCCTCCGTGTTCACCCATGTCATAGCCTTTTCGGTGTATGCTGCAGCAGGCAAGCAGACATCAGCAAGCGAGGCGCCAAGATCTCCGTGGTGGCCTTGATAAACGACGAAAGCATTCGCAGGTATAGACTTGGGGTCGACTTCATCTGCGTTGAGCAAGTAGACAAATTTGGGTTGGGTATTTGCGGCCTTCTTCGAAGGAACAAACCCAATTTCGTATGCCGCAGGTCTAGAGGCAATCTAAAAGGCAATTCATTCGACTGGAGCTCAGAATTTAAAAGTCAAGGCTTACCCTATGTAGGACGGAGAAGCCATTCCACTGAGGGGTAATGAGCGAATCTTTGTTCTTCTCGACAAACTTGGCCAACGCGTTGTAAGCAGCAGCACCGTCAGGTTGCTCCGCAAGAGCGCTCCCGACGATAATCAAGGGTCGCTTGGCTGCTTTAAATTTGGCTGCGAATGCTCCCTTTCCAGCAATGAAGTCAGCAAGAGCCTTAGAATCTGCTCCAAGGTAGTCGTAACCGTACGCCGTATCAGCACGTTCGCCGATGAGGCCGACTTCAAGACTTGTGTGCAGCCAGTTCTTGCGAATGCGAGAGTTAAGGACGGCAGCCTCGTGGCGTGGGTTAGTGCCAACAAGTAGGATAGCATCGGCTTCCTCAACACCGGGGATGGTAGAGTTGAAGAGATAATTGGAGCGAACGTCAACACCATGTGGGGGTGGTGCGCTGCCATTGGTCTGGTCGAGTGCAAGGTTGTCTGATCCTAGGCGGTTGATCAAGTCTTTGAGGGCGACAAGGGATTCGGTATCAGCAAGGTGCCCAGCAATGGCTTGAATCTCATTGCCAGTAGCCCCTGAGGAGGTTATACCATCTGCAATTGTCTGTAGAGCTTCCTCCCACGACGCTGCAACGAAACGGTCGCCCTGCTTGATGAGAGGCGTCGTCAAGCGCTGGAATTTCAAGCCGTCGTAAGCATAACGCGTCTTATCACTGATCCACTCCTCGTTGACTTCGTCGTTGGTTCGAGGCTGGATTCGCATCACCTGGACACCGCGAGAGTCAACGCGAATATTCGAACCAACGGCATCCATGACATCGATGGATTCGGTATTTTTTAGTTCCCATGGTCTGGCGTGGAAGGCGTATGGTTTGCTTGTTAGAGCACCGACCGGACAAAGATCGACGATATTGCCAGAAAGTTCGGAGTCCATGGTCTTCTCAACATACATGCCGATTTGAAGGTCATTACCGCGACCCGTCGTACCAAGCTCCTCGACACCAGCAACCTCATTAGCAAACCGGACACACCGAGTGCATTGAATGCAACGGTTCATGGAAGTCTTAACAAGAGGTCCAAGATCTTTGTTCTCCACTGCACGTTTGCCCGTAATTTCATGGAAACGCGTACGGTCAGAGCCGTATCGCATGGACTGGTCCTGAAGGTCACATTCGCCACCCTGGTCACAAATAGGGCAGTCGAGTGGGTGGTTGGCTAGAAGGAATTCCATGACACCCTCACTGCGCACCTTGTGAGCAGATGCGGTAAAATGCAGACACCCTCAATATTGTCTTACCGAGCTTCATGAACCAGCGGGGTATTTGTGAACACCTTGGAACCAGGCATGGCCGGCATAGCACTGAATATCATTGATCAGCACGTGAACTCATAAAAAATGAATATGATATCATACCATGATGCTACTGGCTTTGGGGAACGCTCGACCTCAACCAGACACATACTAGAGCAAGCATCAACATTCTGCCTCCCTTTCGCCGTCACACTTTTCACTCACCGACAGTTACCAGCAATCGCGAGTCTAAAGGGCAGTTTCAGCCTCTACACTCTGTCGAGAAAGAAAGTGCATTCTGACGAACCTGTCATGGTAGCAAAACCTGAAGAGGGAGTTGGTGAGCAACTACTGGAGTGATACAGATAAATAGAAAAGACATACCGAGGAATCGTAGCACCAGCAGCCTCGCAAGCTTGAATCAACGCGGACCCTACGCGATAATAAGCTATGTAAAGCGCGAAACACGAACAGAAATATAGAGATATGTACCTTGCGGAACCGTTACCTCCTTCCCGTCAACAGTGAGAGTGATATCAGCTTGACGGGCGGATGTGGACGCTATGGACCTGCGGCCTACAAAATATGAACACCTAAGATGATATGGAGGTCAAGGCAGGCGTACCATGTGAAGCACCAGAGCAAACGACTTTCCCGAGTCGCCCCGTTGAGGAGGGTCGCGAAACCAAGCGTAACATTAAGATATTATTTGGAGAACCAAGAAATATGCAGAGAAAACCGAACAAGTGCAGGTCGCTCGCACGGACGAGCGCTGCCGGTTAAAAAAGCGGGGAATAACGGTGCTCGTCGTGATACACAGCGACCAACGAAATCGCGAGTATTACACGATTCGGGCGGAGTTCAAACATGTCATGGTGCCGAACATGTTCCGGTAGAAATATTTGTAGCCATGTTTATCAGATATGTCATTACTTACAGGCAGTAAATAGTAAAAGTACAAATACTAGTAAGTGTCCGGACTGAGTTCCATCGCAGCCGTTCCAGCAGCCAATTATTAGATGATTAGCAAATTACGTCCTTCGTACCCTCCAACAAGTCTCATGGAACATAAATAACGAGGAGAACATTCACAATCAGCTTCTCCAATTCTCCATTGGACACAAAGTATACCCTCTCCTTCGCAAGCGGACCGGGAACCCAATCAGAAAGGATAAAGATTTCCGCTTGAGAAAGAGGGATTGCACCGCTCTCCTCAACCCTCATCCTCAGGTTGTGAGCTTCGATTTTCATTATCTCTACGTCATCTTCTTCCGGACCACCGTAGTAGCTCATCGGACCACGGACGGATTTTGCTGAACGAGCAGGTGATCCAAAAGCGCTAGGAAAGCCCATCGATGATAAGCTTGTTGGCGAATCCAGAACATCGTTTCCGCATTCTACGGTCCGATCGATGGGCCAGACGTATCCCCCCGCTGCCCAATGCAGCTCCGGCGCAAGTTTGTACACCTTCAGGGCATGGTATAAAAGTGAATCACTGCCCTTAAGCTGGTTACCTTACGTCAATAAAGTCCTGCCCGCAGTCAGCTGAAACTCACATGAGGAACCAAAGATTCGGCTAGGCCTTCCGAAGGATTGACACCGTAATCATGGGTCAAATAGAATGCTACTTTGCGTCCGCGAGACAGGCTGAGGACTGGGGAAAGAAGATCAAGGAAGTATTCACTCGGTGTGATCAGAGGATCGACTGCTGCGCCGTATGTCTTCAGATGCACCGCGTACGTGAAGGTCATCCTGCATCCTTGCTGGATGGTTTCGACTTCGTATTCGCATTCCCCAAGGAATGCAGTCCAGTGTACCTCCGAAGGTTTGCCTCCACCTCCGAAGAACTTCTCTTCTGTCCCTTCTGAATCTCGGACAATCATGTTTCCACCACGATGGTGAACAGGTAGAGTGACGCATATTGTAGCAACTCTACCATCGTTGCGTAATGTACGGGGTTGGGGCGCCATACGCGCTCCAGTTACCATCACCTCCAGTTTATCTCTCAGGGCGGTGAGGTAATGTCCCATGGGTAATGCCGGGAACAGTGCATTGCGCACTGCATCGAGGATGGGATGATTGGCGATTTCGAGAGTGGCGGTCAAAGGAAGATTCGATGGGTAGAAAAGGGTTTCACGGTCAGGGTATACATCAAATCCAGGTGTCGGATGGGGTTTACATGCTGCGAGTAGCACTTCGAGAGCCGGAGGTGTGTCGTAATCAATGTTTATGGGGAAATCAAGCGAGTGGGTGATGCCACTCTGTAAATCGGACTCAGATTCAGATAACGACTATTAATCAGTGCCCACGAACCGCTCACCTTTGAGCGAAAGAATAGCACCAAGGACGCCGGGTCCATTGGGATGTGACCGGTGACAGTGAACGGACGCGCTTTGGCGGTGAGTAAACGTGATACGCTCGCACGAAGAGCAGTTTCAGCGCCATATTCAGACTGACGACGACGAACGCCTGGTCGTTTTGGAGATGATGTATTCATTTTGAGTGGTCGCTCGATTTCGAATTCTGATACGCTTCCGTTCCGCGCGAATTGACGACTGCCATCTGAACGGCTGCTATCTGAGAGGCGACTCGCAGCTGATGGTGTTGGAGAGCCTAGTGCTGATCGTGGATGCATCGCAATAGTAGAGATGTCGCTAATGGTTAAGGAAAAGAGTGAGGATCTGTGGAACTGGACGGGACTCTATTTACCAGCCGGGAACAGTGAGTGGCCAAAAAGAGCCACATCTAGCGTGCCGAGATCCAGTGGACAACGATGACATCGAGCCAATCACGCGCCCACAACGTGTTTGATTCATCGTAGACAAGATGGGGTTGGAGGTACAGCAAGACATCTTTGGTAAAATTTGGCCAACCCGCTAGTATTTCCAAGCCGGAGTTTCGTATTCGAACGGACGTTCCTGATCTCATCTTGGAAGATAGCGGTCCTGACAATGGAATAGAGTTCAAAAACTTCACATCTGATTTGAAACCGCCTGCGAGACTGAGTACAACGCGGCGTCAGCATGGCAATGTCTGTGGTGAAAGGTAACAAGATTTTATACGTACAAGCGTCTTTTGTCTCTGTAAAAGCAACAAGCACAAAACACTGTCATTTCGGTTGATTAACTCTGAATCCTGTGATCAGAATAGAAGTCAATAATCAGCTGACACGTGCATGCTTGACATACCATCCTTTGTACAAAACGGACCTACAGCAAACTACCCAGTCCCGGTCATCCGCGATTGTTTGAATCAAACATTTCATTTCAGCGCTTCTTATTTATGAAGTGCACGTGACTCGGGCGGGGACGCCGAAGGGACACAGTCTTTGGGTTTGCCCAACAAAAAACATATTGCTTCACGCTACCTACATATCAGAGGACTAGACACTAATATGTCTGCAGCTACACTCGAGCAATAAGCTCAGTCACAGCCAGCACCTTGAACAAACCTAGTAAGATGTGAACACGAGGCCCATCAACTTGATCCTCAACAAGGTGTCCATAGCGCACCTGTGTATACTGCACGTCCGGCACATCAAAGCACCGACCGCAGATCGTTTCAAGGAATGTGGTTAGGTGAAGCTATGCAAGGCCGCCTTCTACATCTTCGCACACCGCCATCAAATAGTCACCCTCGGTTCGGACGCCTCTCGTGTTGGACAGAAGGCAACGTGCCAAATCCCGATAAGTAATATGGCGGTGAACGCAGCCATAAGAAACCCTGGCATGCCCAACACAGACACCAAGTTCCAGTCGCCTGGTCTGGCCATCGGGAAGAGAAGACGAATATGGATCAACGATCGAGGGGTCCAATGTAGCCAGCCTGCACCTGAATCGACCAAGTGAAACAACCAAGGACGGGTTCCTCGTCCTACTCAGCGACAGATTCAAGAATATATGGAGATATATGCCAAAATGAGCAATATGTGAGCCAGCCGACCGTCCCCAGAATACATTCGCTCGTCCTCAATGTAACCAACGGGGGTCTCTGACCAATCATACCATGTACGCACTCATCGTCAGACACCGAAAACTGATCGTAGACCGATGACTGGATTAGCAGGAGTAGATGGGGAATCACCGAGATCATCATGGGCGATTCAACCGGTGATCCTCAATTTAAAGAATACCTGGCCATCGTACCCACGAGTCTTGTGTTAACCCAGGTGACTCCGTTTGATTCCTTTGCTCCGCCTTATTGACCATGCCATGTCGTTTGTCAGGGTCGCCTTATCTATATATCTCACCTTCCTGCTTCCTATTACCAGGTAGCCTGATTTGGATGGAGAAGGTCCGCTATTTTTGCGCCCCAAGACAATGATACGGTTTGAGACTCGAATGGCGGTGGTACTAGGCGTTCGTGAAGCACTGATGGTCATGTGCGGTTCCACGAATAGCTTCAAGATCTTGCAGCGTATTTCAACTCGGTTCCATCCCGCGGGGTTCCTGCCAGCTATCCTTTCTTGATACCGTGACTTGACCCTCAGGGGATGATTGATCATGCTTATCAATACATATCAAGAGGTCTATATCATAGATCCGGCGTGAACGAACTGATGGTGGTCGTGATGCTGGCTGCGTCCGTAGTCGAAGGCGATTAGCCGGGCCGTCAATGATCCTTTGGCTCTGTTTATTTCTAAAGCCTTTGCCAAACAATAAGCGTTCCGTACGCCACTTGGTGACCGTCAAGCGAGAAACAGGCACCACAAAGATCGTCTAAAAAACTGATTGCGGCACGCTGAAACGTGATAACACAAATTAACGGGGCTAACCAAGAACGCTCTGCAATGTCGGGTATTCCCGGATCCCGATGCAAGCACTTATCAGTACTACCAATCTTACGTTACTCTGGATTGATCCGGGACTTCTTCCCTTCTTCTACCTCTCAGAGGCCTCTGGCGCACATCTGTTGGTAGAGGGCAAAGTCTTTCGCACTGCCAACTGTGTCCTCGTGTTTCTTGTGCTTCTCCAATCACCAATCATTCACATCGTACGATATCACTACAATGACAGCGGGCCGTCTACTTCCTAGCTTTCCCGGCTTCGTATGGGACTACAATCCGTTATCGACGTCTTTCTACCACAATAATAATATTCCGTGCTGCGCATGTGGCTACAGTTAATGACCAAGAGTCCGACACACCGTATCTACCCTCCAGAGGCATCAATAAGTACAATGCTTCTCTCATACCCAAGACCCCACTACAGTCGATATGCACCGCAGAAGCCCAATCCAATCCAAGTTAAGTTCCGGTTTCTTCTGATATACGTGACAACGCACGAGTGGATAGGTTTGCGCCCGGAATCTGTTGTCGATGACTTTTTCTACAACCATTGTGCCGTGTTCTGTGAACGGCGATCAACAAGTCCAAGTTTGGCTCTCGTGCGCAAGCATACATTTAACAACCGCGAATCTCATACATTCCGCATCTCTTTTGCATCCTTCAAAGGTATAAGTTATATGAACAACTCTGATGGCTCAATGCTCCACGAAAGCTGATATGAGATTTAAATTAAGTGAGATGATCAGACATCAAGACACCGTAGACTTTGCCCCAACGCGCAGTCTATCTCTACGTCACAGCACAAAATTCATCGTGTCACGATCATCGGCCCAGAGTCTCGCATACTCCAAACATAGTCTGTAGACGTACGCTATTGCCAAACCAAGTCAGGTCAACCAATTTGCAAATACA